GAGAGAGAGAGAGAGAGAGAGAGAGAGAGAGAGAGAGAGAGAGAGAGAGAGAGTTGTAACATTATAGTGTACATGTATAGTACCATATGGTGATATGGCAGACAATTCTTTATAGTAAATGTATGTAGTACGCAAACAACAACACTTTACAGTGTATAGAGCCCCATATGGTAAATAAAAATGCTTTTATAGTGTATAGTAGTGCCATATGGTGACTGGTACTTTTATAGTAATGGTAAACATGTCGGTGAGCATAAAACTTACGCTAACACTAAGCTGTTGACTGCTAGACCTGATCATGTTTAGTATCCTAATGGAGACAGAGTCAGAAACAGACAACTGCCTCTGCTGGTTAACTTGCCTATAATGAAGGAAAGAGGAAAGAAAATATGGAGAGGGAGAGAGAGGAGGGTGAGAGAGGGGGGGGGAAGACAGGAAGGGAGGATACAGTTTACTCAGAACAAAGTAACTTAAACTCACTTCAAAAGTGAAGTATACCACAACTCCTTCAATTGAGGATCACTATAAAGAAAAATACAATCATATCACATTATCAAGATAAAAATAAAATTAAATTAATAATAATAATTTTACCTGAAGAGAGCAATGTAATTAACGATGGGCCAGCCGATGGTGAATGCTGACTCATGCTGCGACGATGCATCATGTACAGACTCTGATACCCAGACCTCAGACAGACGGAGCCGGTTCTTGAGTTTAAATACTCTCTGATGCTGAGTCCTGCAATGAATCAATCAATAGCTTTATACGTACAATGTACATATAATGTATGTATATGTGTACATGTACAATGTAGCTGCTTCTGAAAAATCTGTGATCAAAATAAGCTCAAAATTTCTACATTTGAAGCCATTGCTGTTAAAAGATAACGTAAGGACAAGTACATGTACAGTGGCTTGAAGCTCAAACTTAACATAATTCTAAAGTCTATACCTTGATGATTTTCCAGGCTTTGCAATGATAAGTAAATCACTGAAGAGGAACAAATAACGATCTTGTTGCTGGTGCTTATTAAACTGTAACAATGATAAAATAAATAAAAATTGACAATAAATAAATTATGTGACTGCAACTCACTCCAAGGAGTTTGACTGGTCCTTCTAGAATGTAGAGTCTCTGAGCTTTCCTGTACGAGGGTATTGAGGAGACTGGGTGATTATCAGTGTGTTCAGGAAGATGTGAACTATAAAGAATGGGAAAGAGAGAGAGAGAGAGAGAGAGAGAGAGAGAGAGAATGTATAAACACATTAAAGTATATACTCTTGAGGAGAATAAAGCAAAAGAGAGAGAGAGAGGGGGGGGGAGAGGGGAGAGAGAAAGCATTAAAAATATACTTTGATTTTTGTCTGGTAGGAGTTAGTGCCGAAGAGGACTTGCTAACTGGTGGCTGTGCATGACTCAAACTTCTTGATCTCTTTGGAGTTGATGCCTATACACAAGTACACAAAGGATCATATACACAATATCAGTATCAGTATCATTGTGATACAGACATTAACAATCTCAAGCCATCATTAAGAGGCAAACAATAAATGAAGAGAAGAGATCAATACAAATATCTATGGTATGTCAGTAAATGTGTGTGTGCTGTGCACATCCAATACAAAGAAGATATGCAAGTCTAGACCCATGGATATCATGGTATGCATATACACATAAAGAAATGCAGTAATTATTCAAAGAGTATTTACAGTGCATTGTAACACATACAGTAACAGGACATGTAGTCTTACTCTAAAGGATTGTATGGTACATGTACATGAACATGCATGCCATTTAAAAATTTGCTTGTGAGAGTAATTGTACTACTTTAATTGATGTTAGTAAAAGGATGCTGACTACTACTATGTGTACATGAATGCTTTGGCATAAACAAATCATTATCAGATACAGAACTCTCACATGAAACTCGGTGAGTCAACAATTAGCAAAGATTCTATACCCAATTAGACACTTAATTGAATACAATGACTGAGATATGGTATCATTATGCGACCCTAAAATCTTTACGGGAGGCCAGCAATGTCTTTAAATGAGGATACACCATCAACAACAACAGAATGGAATTCACCTTTTAGAAGGCATTAAAACTATTAAGAAGAACATACACTGCAATACTATTAATATAATTCCTAACACGTACAAAGCTTCAAGGACTCAATGCTATAATGTACATGTACATGCATGTACACATATACATGTACATGTCACCTATTGTTGAGTGGTTGCATGCAAACAGAATCAGCCATAGCTCTGAGCTATAAACGAAATTGGCACAATAATCTCATGGCACTTGCAAACACAGCCGCTGGGTAAGATAAGGAATTATAGAGTAACAACATGTTTACATGTACCACAATACATACATGGATATAGGCCATAATTGCACGTAACGAACGAAATTAGAAAATGAGCAGTTGTCTTTAAACAATGAGATGTATATAATAAGACCACAGTCAAAACATCCATTACAATAATGAATTAGTGAATAGGATACATGTATACATGTACAAATTACTACATGTACCGTGAATGTGTCGATATGTATACATTACATGTACATGTATACTTATACATGTATCGTTCAGAAGTATCATGAGTTACATGTACAGTATGTTTTTGCTTACGTCCATCATGTCAAGTTTTTCAAAGAGGAACAGCTCATCATTTGGAAAGTGGAGTTGGACTTGTTCCAGTTTTGATTCGTTTTGCAGGTAAAGTAACTCATCAGCCCTCGCTTGTATGATCTAATGTAAACAAAAAGTCATTTCAAAACAGCAAACATGTGACACGTACATCTACACAAGTACTTCACAAATACATAAATGTACATGCACATTATCCTTATCCTTCTCTCCCCTCTCTCTCTCTGTTATGGTCCCTACTTCTTCAGTTCTGGCGACAGTGACTCTTATATTTTGATAGTCTGGATGATTACGATGTGTCAATGCTAGCAATTGAGTCAAATATCTCTTGTAATCCGACACTCTCTGAACCTAATGTACAAAAAACAAGACATTGTTAGACTTAATGCATTGAGTGCATCAAAGGATCAATAAATGAGCTTATCTCTCTCTCTCTCCCTCCCTCCCTCCCCCTCCCTCTCTCACTGGTAAGAGCATTAGTGATTCCAGTGTGTGCATTGCTGCTCCTCTCTTGATGTCCAAGAACTTGCTAAATGACTCGTCTTTCTTCATCTGCTTCAACAAACTACAGACAAGAACACCATAGCATGCAATAAAACATAAATACATGTACAGTACACCATATCATGCTACAGTAATACATCATAATACTGTTGTGTTTATAAATGTATGCATATACAATGTACATGTAATAGGATGATTGCTATTGGTTTCAGTTGACTCACTTCATTGCTAGAGTGTAGCTCTGTGCATATTCAATGTACATCTCCCAGTATGATGGATACTGTGTGAAGAGGCCACCAATGAGTGTAGTGTTAGTGTTCCATGACTTTACTGCCAACTCCAACTGTTTGTTTGTGTGTGTGTGTTTGTGTGAGAGAAATAATAATGAAGTCACACAGGATGATGGACTACATTGACACTTGCCTCAGAGAAGAAGTTCATCAGTAGATCACACAATCGGCTCAAAGGAACAAACAGAGTGTTCATATCAGATTGTGAGACGCCCCAATGTCTGCTTCAAGAGAATTGAGAAAGAGAGAGAGAGGGGGAGAGAGAGGGAGAGGAGGAGGAGGAAAGAGAGAGAATAAGTCAAAGGTGCAAGATGCTAGCAAGAGAGTAAACAACTCTAAAGATATTTCATTAAGAGTATCATCAAAAGACATTAGAGAAAGCCCATGGACACGATTAGAATGTCATGCTCCAATGAATATTATTAACATGTTGTGATCAGAGCCAGTATTCTCTCACACCATAATGGAACATTCACGGCACTATTAGGATAATCATAGACCATGAATGAGAACAGTGCATTGCTGGAAGTCTATCATATCTGTCTTGCATACAAAGTCAAAGAATTCCAGTCAGTAGTGACCCCAAAAGAATCAATACAATGAATAGGTATACAAACAATATAAACAATTTCACAGTTCACACGCATACACAATGTACTAATAAATGTACATAAATGGACATGATAATGATTCAATGCATCGTACATACATGTACATGTACATTGTATACCTCATTGGGTCTATGTAGATGTCAAATATATTCTTGAGATGTTCAAGGTAAGCGTCCTCAGTACGAAAGAGCTCCCTCACAATAGCTAACCGTTCATCCCCACCACTGTCTTCTGTAAAGAAAGAGATAATAATAATAACAATAATAACAATAACAATAATAATAATAATAATGTTATTAATAAAAGAAAGAGGGGAGGATTGATTGGTAAAGGAAAGAAGGCAAAGGACAAAGTGACAAGGTTCACTGGAGGCGAAATAAAGAGAGTGACGCATTACCTCATACCAAAGGCTATAGGAAATGATGCCTCTGCTAGTAATCCAACCCACACTATACCAACATGATACATTACAATGTACCCTCCAGTGTCAAAATAGAATGCGATCATATGCACACAACGTAAATGAATCACTAATCAATCTACGTCACTGCCCTGTATATTGGCAGTCATGAGTTTAATGAACATCAACAATGATTAAACAATGACACAAGTTCAAATGGTTGAAGGTCATCAATTGATATACAAACAATGAAGCTCTTCCTCAGTGCATACATTGCATGCCAGGATTCATAAGAATGATGTGTGCAGAGGAATAGATTAAATTAAACTTCCCTTCTCCCCCTACCCTCCATTCTATGATATGCAAAACATGTTTTGAACTACATGTACAATGTATTATACAACAACCTGTCCAACAATCCTA